TATAAGTTACAACTTCCTAAAGATAGTAAAAACCATTGAAAACACAACACAGTTTCGGAAACTATGACCACTTGCACAGACCAGAGTTAACTAATTTAACTGCCTGTTTAATGCTAATCTGTACCCCTAGCACGAACCATTATCGAATTCGAATAATTTGCAAACCAAAATGTCAATGTCAAATTTTGTATGGAAACTTGAACAGCAGCGGCACAAAGTACGCAACGAGAACTAGAAATCAGTACACATTTGACAATGACTTTTCTGACTCGCAAACGATATTTATTTAAACTCGTACTGAGTTTAGTTAAATAGTTTGTCTTGCAATGCCCAGAATTAAAAATAAATTATGTGTTCAAATACTAGGTATTTAATACATGCTATTCCTCTACACTATGAATTCCGCTGACATAAGATATCGTAAAAATGAATTTATTATTATTAACTCGTCCTATTCCATCCATAGGGAAGGCCTGTGCCCCAGCAGTGGGGACATTAATAGGCTAATGATGATGATTTAGATACCGTAAGAAATATTGTAAATATAAACGAGGATTCGCTCTGGGTAGTAAACGTTGATGTACTAATTATTATTTACAGAGATAATAATAATTATAGCAGAATTTTCTCAAATCAATAATGTTTCTCATGACAGCTTTCGTCTGGACTGGGAGTAAATTCAATTCAATATATTTATTGTTTCATGTGGTTATTGCAATTATTAAAGAGAAACAGGATGCGCTAGCTGCTAACATTTAATTGCATATAGGAAACCTTATCAATTGATCTTGATGAAGTTGTAAGCGATCTATTGTGGCGGACAAAAAAGTCCGCGGACAAAAGCCCCTCGTCTTCGCAGGCTAATAAAATGTATTGAATACCTGAAATTCAACCGAAGAATTTTATTATGAGAAGATTTGCCGACGCTGAATTAGTTACTACTCACTTCGAGAGATGGCGCTGCACAGAATCGTTCATCGCGCTATGGTTGTTCTTTTATGCTCGCTATATAGGCTCAAACATATCTAGCAAGGTTTGTCATGGTTGTTTATTTCTATCCGACCCATAACACAAGTGCTTATAATAGTACTCCATTTTTTTGAAGACCTCTCTGTGCATACCTGCACTTAGATGAGGCTATATAGAACATTATTATCGTAGTATAGGAGCAATATGTTAGGCTCAGCCGATGCCAAATGTTGATGTGTGATAGTTGATACCTATGATGCTCTGTCAACCCCTATAGGGATATTATGGCATGGCATGAAAGCATGTAATTTCCGCATACCGACATTTTGAAACCTACAGTTTCCTCCATTTAATAATAATAATATCTACATAATGAAACACGATGAACTTAGAAATATTACCCACCATTACGTTACAAATTAAATAGCAAATCTAAGAAAACTGAAAAATCAGAAATTACCAATATGTAAAAAAGTCAAATTATTTATTTTACCCCAAAAACGGCATTTAGAGAAGTTAAAAAATTCAAAAAAAAAAACTAAAATATATTTATTCACCAATACAAAAATGAACTTAGCTTACAATTAAACAGTGGTTTTTACACTGAGATGAGCTCGTAACGCAAATACCTAATATTTCAGTTTTTCTAAATGGTTCGCATTACAATATGTTGACAAAACTCGGCGGGTGAACATTGTGAGTAATACATAAATATTCAATAATTTATAATCTTTTAATGACCATGGGCTAATCTTTAGGATTAAATGGTATTATCCAATTTGACGAGCATGCATGAGTAAGTTCGTTCAAAGCTAATTAGTAGAGAAGCAGTGACCAAGCGGTGTGTGTGTATTGTATAGAAGCTAGTGAGTGTGGACTCACCGGCGCGCGGGCTGTGAGCCGGGGGCTGCTATGGCCGCCCGACCTCGGTCACTGCTCTCGACTCTTGAACAAAATTACCACAGTCAGATTGGACTCATTGAATTACACTTGACTCACTCACTGAGTTACTACTCAAAACAGTGAGCCAATTTTAGAATGTTATTTCTTTACTTATAAATTGATCAATATTCTTTTGATTCATATTTTTTAATTTATACATTACTTAATGTATGCATGCTCTTAGATTGGAAATTGGAATATTCGTCAATTCAGAGAGCTTTTATCACATAGTAAAACAACAAGAAAAAGGTACAGTTTAAAATATAAACAGTTTATCGTATGGAGGTAAAAGATATTCTAGTATTTCTGTGCAATTTGCGTTTGCGTGTTCGAGTGCATGTGGGTGCATAGACAACTGCTAAATTTCATTAGATATAGCGACCCTTAGAGTAAGTCTTTGTAAATGCTCTAAGTAGCGACCCCATAATTGTTTTAATTTACATATTCATGACTAGGTACTTGGGTTGGCACATAATGTTTTAAAAATTACGCATAAGTATAGACGTAATGGAGTTAAAAATGAAATTCGCAATCGCACTTTTAATTCTCTCAGTAAGTATAATTTTCCATTTATTGCTCAGAAGACTTAGCTGAAAATATCTCTTACGATGTTTGCGAAATATCTATATTCCCATGTGATAATACAGATTGGCCATAAGTACGTTTACAGCAACACCTCGAGTAATGACAGCTACGATGCATTTGGCAATAGGTCCAGATACAATAGCGAAAGTTTGCTTGTCCATTTCATAGTTTTTGTGAATACTCTGTTTGTTGATAAGCTTTTATTCAATGGCATGGCGCAGACTGCCCTAGACGTGAGCGCTGTCCGTAGCGCAGTCATATGAGCAAGCTCAAAATAGTGGCCAATATTACAAACTTCCCTCAGGCAAATAAAGTTAAGAATTCCACAATGCGACTGAGTTTATAGTTCAGTGGTTTTGCATACAAAACGCCATCAAATCACAATGTTTATCATGTTTTTGAATAGTAATGGAACGTGGTGTTGTTTAAAATTCAAATATTTTTTACGCCATTTACAGTGTCTATTACCACCAAACGATTCTTTGAAAACCGATCGCAAATCAGTTGCAAGTTATTCAATAGCGCCTAGAGGCACCGTTAAGTGGCCGTCCTCTAGACCTGCATCTAGCTACTCAACTGCATTTTATATCTAACTAGCCGTGCCCCGCGGTTTCACTCGCGTTTTTCTCGTTTCCGTGGAAATACCGAGATAAAATATTCGTGTTAACTTTTAAATGAAATATCCAATTGAGATGAAACAAAAAGTATTATACTTCTACATAAATACTCTTGATAACATAATGCTTAATTTCGATAAAGATTAAGATTACGATACATATTTAACGTAGTTTTTTTTTCTTCAGTGGATTTTATAATTATTTTGAACACAAAATCGGTTATTGTGATTAAACCATGATAGCTAGATATAATGTTCTCGCGGACTTTTTTGTAGGTCTTAATGGGAACTACAAACCCGTAGTACATCATTTTATTCTATTGTCAATAGTTTTTGCAGCGCACGAAAAATAGGTTTTCGATTTTACACCTTGTGTTACAAAATAGCAATTTTATTACGCATCCCTAATTTAGAAAAAAATAGCCTATAGCCTTCCTCGATAAATGGACTACCCAACACTGAAAGAATCATTCAAATCGGACCAGTAGTTCCAGAGATTAGCGCGTTCAAACAAACAAACAAACAAACTCTGCAGCTTTATAATATTATAGTATAGAAGTATAGATAACGTATCTGAATAAGAAGCAGCAGAAAAATATATCCCGGTTCGGCATGGGATACAGAAAGTTAGATGGAATGGCCAAAATGGAATGGACAAACTAGTGTATCCAACAAGAATAGGTAATTTTCCTTGTACTCAAACTGCCTAACTAGTTTCATTACTGGCAATAATTATGATTAATAATAATTCCTGTATTCAAACTTAGCTAAACCTAAAGAAGCAGCGGCATACCTACGGATGAGAGAAAGATGAAGTTTCTCCAGTGATCAAGTATGGTCTCGGAAGGGAAGAAAGTTTGACCACCAGGAATAGGTTTAATTTCTCCAAACAGGTAGGGCGCAACCAGCGCTCTTGAGAATTGCCTCGGGAAGGGAGGAGCAATTGAATGGTTAGAGTATTACAGTGGACTCACCGAGCGGGCAGGGCGCAATTGAGTCATTCTCCTTGACGCTCTAGAGAATTGTCTCGGGAAGGGAGGACCAATTGAATGGTTAGAGTAGTACAGCGGACTCACCGAGCAGGCAGGGCGCCATTGAGTCATTCTCCTTGACGCTCTTGAGAATTGTCACGGGAAGGGAGGACCAATTGAATGGTTAGAGTAGTATAGCGGACTCACCGGCAGCCTGCGTGCAATTGAGTCATTCTCATTGACGCTCTTGAGAATTGTCTCGGGAAGGGAGGACCAATTGAATGGTTAGAGTAGTACAGCGGACTCACCGAGCAGGCAGGGCGCCATTGAGTCATTCTCCTTGGCGCTCTTGAGAATTGTCTCGGGAAGGGAGGACCAACTGAATGGTTAGAGTGGTACAGCGGACTCACCGAGCAGCCGGGGCGCAATTGAGTCATTCTCCTTGGCGCTCTTGAGAATTGTCTCGGGAAGGGAGGACCAATTGAATGGTTAGAGTAGTACAGCGGACACCGGCAGCCAGGGCGCAATTGAGTCATTCTCCTTGACGCTCTTGGGAATTGTCTCGGGAAGGGAGGAGCAATTGAATGGTAACAGTAGTGTAGCGGTCTCACCGAGCAGCCAGGGCGCAACTGAGTCATTCTCCTTGACGCTCTTGAGAATTGTCTCGGGAAGGGAGGGCCAATTGAATGGTTACAGTAGTATAGCGGACTCACCGAGCATCCATGGCGTAACAGAGTCGTTCTGCTTGGCGCTCTTGAGAATTGTCTCGGGAAGGGAGGACCAATTGAATGGTTACAGTAGTACAGCGGACTCACCGAGCAGCCGGGGAGCAATTAAGTCATTCTCCTTGGCGTTTTTGAGAATTGTCTCGTGAAGGGAGGAGCAATTGAATGGTAACAGTAGTGTAGCGGACTCACCGAGCAGCCAGGGCGCAACGGAGTCGTTCTCCTTGGCGCTCTTGAGGATGGTCTCTGGTAGCGGCAGCGAGTGGCGCACCATGGCTCCGTACAGTCCGTACTCCGCCATGATGGTGGAGCGGCCCCAGCACTTCTCCGTCTTGCGCCACTTCGCGCGACGGTTCTGGAACCACACCTGCCGGCAAATACGGAAATTATTAGCATAACCATCAGCCTCTTAATGTGCCCTTATGCTGTATGAGCACAGTCCTTTCGTATGGATGAAATAGAGAGGTTATAAATGTCCCAACACGCAGGCCTAGTGCGGACCGGTGAGTGCAAACCACTGCAGATACAGCCAAAACCAACGGCATCCAAAACACGCAAGAGCGAGGGAGTTAATAAATTTATGGTACCCTGTTCGATGGCCGGTCAGAAGAAAGGCAAATATAAAAAGAAATGAGGATTGGACCGAAAATATCTAAGAAATTCTTATTTGGGTCTATAATTCATTCGCAGATTTCAAACATCTAGTAGGTATTTGATTTTCAACATTTGAATTCAGATCACTTTTTAATGCAATGCGCAGCCGTCAATATGAGTTTAATTGTCAATTAGCAAAATAACAGCCTTTCCAGGTGATGCTGCGAACGAAAGCTAAAAGGACTCCTGTCAGTCTAAAATAATAACTAAGCCTTAACTAAGCACTGGAAACAAACCAATCAGCGGGAACAATAACTAAATAATAAATTTAATTCTCGAATTTGTTGGCGCCCACCGCGGTGGTGCAGGGCTGCGCTTGGCGTACCCTTGGATATTTAAAAAATGTACAAAATATAAAGATTAGGGGAATACTTCACCACTTACTGAGGGATACAAGAATGGATAATGTAACGGAACATAAGGGTCAGATAAACTACAAAAAGTCTTGAAAAATATAGATACCCTATAAAGAGGAGAGATCACATCACCATTCATTCAGTGCAAAATAGAAATATGAATATTGATGGATTCCGGAATCTTAAGTTACACTTGTTTTTTGACTCCTTATTAAAAACAACGATACCATATTTGCTTAGAAAACTTAAAATATGCAAAAATATTGTAACTAGAGTTTACTTTCCGCATTAAATATATGGAATGATCTGCCACCACCTTTTTTGGGGTAACATTTCAATACGTTTAATTTAAATTAAAAAATAATATTAAACGTTGATTTTAAAATGTTAGCCCGATTGAGATTAAAAATAAAAAATCATCCGCGCCATCTTGATGCGTGGCTATCTACAGCCTTGCGATTTTGTCCATATGTTTAGCACGTACGACAAAACTGTGGAATACATTGTCACCAGCAGTGTTTCAGGAACAATACGACTTGAAAACCTTCAAAAAAAGAGCGTACTCCTTCCTTAAGGGCGGCATCGCATTGTTGATACTCCAGGTGTTGCAGGTGTCTATGGGTGACAGTGATCACTTACCAATACGCGAGTTTTCAGCTCGTATACCCACTTATAATATGAAATGAAATGAAAATGAAATGAAAAGTCATTTATTCAGTCTAGGCTGTTACAAGCACTTGTGAAGGTCAGAAGCTACGCCATCGGTTTGCAAAACTACGGCGGGAGACCTTGTACTGAGAAGAACCGGCAAGTAACCCAGCAAGGGCTGCTTTTCTCTCCCTGTATTGATATATACAGAGTCGTCACGTTGAAAAATGACATAAGAGATACTTCTGAAGTCACCTTAAGTTAAGTTTGAAGTCACCATATATATACCTATATATATACAGGGCGTCCCACGGGTTTGCCACACGGAGAGAAAGTATATTAAACATTGAATATAGGGTATTTTACTGAAAGAAGACATCTTTTTTTTTATTTATAATCAGAAGAACTACATTCACAGTTCTTAAAAATCGCCTGGTAAAACCGAATATCAAACTCGTAAAATGTGAAACAAACACATATAAGTATTTTATGTTAACCGTCGAAAAGGAGGATTAACCTGGGAATTATTTTTTCCTAAATAACATAGCATTTGAAATGAAATAAAGATCACGAAATATGACTTTTTTTAAATAATTGTATAAGTATCGCTTTTAGTTTTTTCACGTACTTGTAGGAAATCCTGTATTATTAAGTAAGCAGGTACTAGTTAGTAAATACTTTGATTTCAAAGCATTTATCATTTGACAACATTAGCTGTTGGAAGTACGGCAAAGTAAGAGGAAATTTTGATTCCCAGTTGTAGCAGGCGATTTTAAAGAAATCTGGGAATGCGGTTCTTGTTATTATTAGAAATAAAATGATGTCTTCTTTCAGTAAAATATCCTAACTTCAATATTTAAAATACTTTCCCTCCGTGTGACAAACCCGTGGGAAGTCATTTGTATAAATTGTTGTTATTGGAAAAAAAGTAAGTCTAGGGCTTAATTTGGATTTTCTATGAAAAATAAAGAATCTTTTATTTTTTAATAAAATAACCTAATCATTTTAAAGGTTTACTTGTTGGTATCATATAAATATGTTATTAGTCAAATAAGGTTCTGGCAGAATATTAGCGACTTCCGGTAATACGGCGGTGTAAGGTCGAGCTGTTTGTTTCCAAAAATAGTTGTGAAGTTAGATTTAAGTCTTCTAAATTTTATATTACATATTTTTATGGAACAAATAAATAATAATAATTATTATGATTAAAAGTTGTTGGTAATATATCAAATAAAGCGAATGTTTAGAGGTGAACATTTGAGTTGTTAGCACAATTTGAGTAAAAAAATATCAGTCATTCGACAAAGTGGTTATATTTTAAAGTTTTTGAAGTTATACTTCTTTAGGCGCGTTATGAAAAAATGATGAGAGTGAAATTTTAAGATGCGCGCGCATCACTGTAACACAAAATTTTAACAGCATGAAGTTGGTTGCTTTCTAAAACTTCATGCGTTACTTTTGTGTTTACCGCACATTAAGAAAATCTACCAACAAAATAGAAATAGAATCTCTATTTAGTGGGTGCTAACGACTGCATTGTGAAGGCTTATCAAAAGTATTTATTAATCTGGAACAACGGAACCAAAGCGCGATTCAGGAGACTACAGCGCCATCTCTTGACCATTGGTGTAGTAGAACCAAAAACCACATCTTTATTTTTTGTAATAAAGTAACAGTTATAGGTATTCATATTTATAATATTTATCCACATGTTTCTAGTTTGTATATTCGGAATACGTGTTTGAGTTTCATACAAGTGCAAATCACATATGTTCTAATAAATTATATTCAGTGGCGATTTTAATTGAATATTTTGATTATTTATTTATTTTTTCAAATTAAAACTGAACTTTATTGACTTCGTCCTTTTCCAGACTTTTTATTAATTTATTGTAATTAATTATTTGCATGCAATTAAAAACTAATTTTAAACGATGTCAAAGAAGGATAACTTCTCACGCGCCTACATAAGTACACGCACCCATTTTTTTTATCTATAGAAAAGTTTTACTAGAAAAAAATCCACGCGGACCAGGCATCATTTGGTCAGTGCATTCGCCCGGATTGCGAAGGGTGCGGGTTCGAGTCGCGTCCGCTAAATAACATCTAGCAGTTAAATGCTCAAAAATAAAATAAAAACAGATTTTTTTATGTTAGTGACTTTCTGAATGGAATAACACAATTTGCGTATTGGTTTCTTTGATGGAAGATCGGGACAAGCGTTAAATAAGAAACACGTGGGTAAAGCAACATTGTCATGTTGCATCATTTTGTTCTCCTTCAAAATGTAATTAATTGAGTTTTCCTAATATACGCCTAAATTTTTGTTTCTTTAATAACAAATAGTCTAGGCAATATTTCAATTAAGCAGTCGTCAACCCTACTGTTAGTACGCGAGTTCTCTGCGCAAAACAGTTAATTTCTAATTAAATTTGTTAATTAAACCCGATCCGCTCGCCAAATTATTACTCCGTAGTATTATGTTGTCCCCCCAACCCCCCAACACACACACACGTAAAGGTACAGTCATCTCCCTAACCATCCACCCACGCAATCTCCCACACGGCACGTATCCCTCACATTACCTAAATTGAGTCAATTACTGCCATAATTATCCTTTATTAATAACATTGTTGTTGTATATAATGCCCTGCGAGTACTATGCAAATCAGTGCCGCTTATGAATACAATTACAGGTTTGTAAGTACATATATGAGCTGGGAAACATCGAACTTGGGTAAATCCATTCTTTGTACTTTCAAAATATTTCATAAAAACCGTTTCTCACCGTAATTTCTGATACGAAATCATAAATAACTTTATGTACGGAGCACAGACAATAAAAAAACCGTTAGGAAGCATAGACACGGCGATAAAGGAGATTGCTCAGCTTCCGATAGATGTTTGGCTAAAGACCAATAATCAAGAAAAATTGTTTCCTAGAATCGCAATTATATTCTATAAACCATATACACTGAACATATTAAAATAATAAAAAACAAATAAGTTATATAGTAAACTAGGGAAATCAAGCCAAGTACCGAAATTATGGATTAGATTCAGGTTTAAAGAGCATATAGATTAACAGATAGTTACCTGTTTTAAAAAATAATGCATAAGAGTAACTTTTAAAATCAGGTGTCATTTCCGGTTATAATAAGGTACTCTGTGACAGAAACTGTGTGGTGAATGTGAATGAGCCACAGATTAGAGAGAATTTTTAAACTCTCGTTTACCAAAGAAAGCCAAGAGATTTAGGTTCTATAGCCATATATTCAGTAGCTTCATTATTTTTGTTATGTTTTTAAGATTACCATATTTTAGCTTTTTAGTGTATCAACCTTATAATTTTATTTATTTATTAATTTATAGTCAGGGAACGTAGGTCCATAAATAGATACCTTAAAGTCTAACATATATACAGATTATAATGTTTTATGGAGGTGTATGGCGAAAAATGTATGGCAATAGACTTTATGATGTCGCCTACCATTTATAATAATTGTTTGAGCACATTTGCATCTAGTGAAAACAATAATATAGTTGTGTTTATTAATACCACAGTGTAATAAAAAAACAAATTATTTTATCGATCTTTACAAAAAAGATTTGTTTTTATGTTATATAAACAACTTCGATCAGTCTTTGGCTGAATGTTACTACACCCATAGCCATTAAAAATGATTCGTATGTTTTCCAAACCGGTAAAATT